TCGGGCGGCGCGGCCTCCTCCTCGCGCCGATCACTGGCTGGGAAATGTCCTCCCTTGCCCTCGTCCCGTCGTCTGGCCTCCGGGCTCCGCGCCGTCTGTGTCGGAGCGCTGGGGAGGGCGGAGGCGCTGGTGAATGGAGGTCTCTTGCAGATTTCTGGGCAGTTAGCGTTCAGAGCCGGGAAAAGAAAGCTGGAACTCGTCTCCGTAAGGTGCCCCTGGTGCGGACGGGGATCCCAAGGCCCCGGGGTAGGAGCGCCCGCCTGCTGCTCAGCGGCAAGGCTGGTTTGCGTCCCAGCGCCCTTGCGCCCCGACTCTGGTGACTGCTGGCGGGAGGCTTCCTACCGCGCCAGCTTAGCCTGAAGCTAGATCTTACCGTAGCAGCGTGTTACCTGGTGGAGAATACGGCCTCATCAGTTCTCCTACAACAGAAATTAAGTTCCCCAGGGAACAATTAAGATGTTTGGCCACCGCTGTTGTCTCCTGAAGTCGGACCCTGGTGTCCTTTTAAAAAGGGTTTTAGAGACGCTGAAATGATTCAGTTTTATATTCAGGTGGCACCGAATCGGTTTTAACTCGCGTTGAACAGTCTTGCTTCCCCTAAGCAATGTCTCCTTCAAGCCAAAGCTATGCAAATTTTGAATCAATTGCCCTCCTTTTCTTGAGTTAATTTGTTAGTTCCCATCACTGTTTACTATCCTAATCATTCTACAAGTAGTTATTGGTAGGATATGATGTGTTTAAGTTGGCTTACCTGAAGCATTTCGACTCACAGTGATGACCCAGTACGATCCGCTGTGCCTTTCTAAGAAAATGTCCACACCAAAAGGAATGAACGCACCGAGAGGCCACACTGGATGTGCCCAGTTTGACTCCTCCTTGGTGCACGTCCACAGCTTATCTTCCTCTGGCCTCAAATTTACATCTGGAAAGGAAGAAATTAGGACCTTGGTATACTTCTCCAGATACAAATGGCCACCACCTTAACCTTTGTAATTGGGGCTGCCTCTCTAGGCATGTCAGTAACTTTATATCTTTGTCTTGTGCTTCAAACTTAGTTGCTTTAAATACTGTGCTTTTGTGGTTGCGAGTTTTAAATTTTTTTTGTAAAGAAAGGAAGATTCTTGGTGTTTGGTCATTGGCAACATGTTTCAAGTGGGTAAAAAACTTCTTAGTGGCTAAAATTATTTTCTACTGACATTTAGGATGACCTTGGTGTTCATCAGCGAACCAGCTGGCTTACCCCCTCCTCTGAGAGGTGGCTTGTCTGGGATCACACAGATCTTCAGTGCAATGAGGAATAAAAACTCTTCCTTATTCAGAGATAAGTCACTTACATAGTTTGCAAAACACACAGAATTGGTTGCTGAATTAGTTATTTTAATCTTCTGAGTTAATGAGCCACCTTTCCTTTTTCTAGTCAGTATTTATTAAGTCCATGCATCAGCAATAGTTGATTTTTGTTTAAAGGTAGAGGAGTAGGTTTTTTCAAATTTTCTAGGCTCCAGCCTAAACCTATTGAGTGAAGATTTCCAGGAGGCCTAGTTATTTGAGTATTTAACAGGTACCTCAGATGATTCTTATCAAGAAAATTTGGGACACAGTGGATGAAGTGTTGCTTCTTAAAGTGTGGTCAGTGCTTGGGCTTTCCCAGCAAGTCAAGACTGGCAGCATTTCTGGTCCCTCTTGAGGCCTGTGAATCGTAATCTGCGTTTTAACAAGGTCTCCAGGTTATTCCTGGGGTTGAGAAGCTTGGAGGAAACTGATGACCAGAACTGATGTTTGGTGTTGTGCTTTGTAGTTTGTGCTTCTATGAACTCGTGGTGCATGGTCACAGTTCACCTCACCTCTCTCCTACGTGGCTGTTTACGATTGTCTTTGTATTATAATGATTATAGTCTTATTATTCACCTTGTATAGATGGGGACCCCCAGCTTTAGGGACCCAGGGGGCCACCTTGCTGGTGGCAGAGCAGGCATTTAGACCCTGCAGTTTGTCATTCAGCATTTGGCAGAGTTCCTGTTTCTTCCCAGACCAGCTGTTCTGGGACCTTCTTGTGGGCACCCAGCACAGGCTGCTGTCTGAATTTAGAAGTGAGCCTCATGGACTGATGGTCCAACCCTGTCCTCTGAAAAATGAGTTTGATGTGGTTTGGGATGTCCGTGGCTGGCTCACTTATTTGGCATTTGTTTCTAAGGGTTTCAGAAAGGTTGATTGAAGTGCCCCCCACCAGTGGCTGTAACTCAAGGAAGGTTTTCGATCTGCGAGCTTTTTGTGGGAAGGTGATGGGCAGAGAGACAGGAAGGCCAATCACTAACTGCATTGACACCTTGAGCCTCCTCCCTTTGGAGCAACGTAGTAGAGCCGATTTCCCAGCTGCCAGGAGTTCTGATCCAGTAACCAGGCAGCAGGCCTAGAGACAGGGAGGCTGCGGAGGCCCGGCTGATGGTGAACTCTTGTCTCCACCTAGGGATATGAGGTGAACTCATCTTAAGTTCCAGGGAGTTGCCTTCCACGGAGCCCAGCAGAGGAGTGAGTGACCATGACGTCCAATCCTGCCATCCAAGCTGCCATTGACCTCACAGCAGGAGCCGCAGGTAATCCCAAAGAAAACCATCCTCTCCTCATATACCTCCTACAAGTGAGATCGAGGGAAGGCATGGCGAAGATACTGCCTTTGTCACCCAAGAAGGCATATACTTTAACTTGGAACGAATCCATTTAACGGAAGTGTAATATTGGGTTGCGAGCACAGCAGAAGGTAGAGTAGTTCATATTAAAACTGTATGAGTCAGGGCGCAGGGTGGGAAGGTCCCCAGTTTTCAGCTGGAAAACACCGCAGCTGAGAGCTGAAGTCCCTTGTCACAAGGTTGGGATATGCAGGTGACTTGGGATTCCACTCCAAGCTTGGTGGTCTTTAGAGCCCCAAGGTACAAAAATAACACCGTGCCATCTCTCCAGGGAATCCCAGTGACTGTCTACTATTGCCAGGGTAAGAAAGGAAGACACGTTTTAGAAATGTCTGATAAATGAGACTGCCGTTCACTTTGTCTTAAAGCCCTGAAGGGAACCGCGAGGCCCTAGTGTTTGCTCGGGAATGGGGGCTGGGCCTAGGGCTGGGCCCCAGTGCAGACTGTGGCCCCACAGGGCACAGGTAAGTACTCCTGGGCAGTGCTTGCCCGCACACAGGCCACTCTTTAGAAAGATCACGTTTCCTCAGCCTCACACAAGAACGGAATGGGAAGCGCGTGGCTGGTAACTTGTCCTCCAGATTCCTGTGTCATGTGAGGGCTGGAGGCGCTCTCGAATGCTCAGACTTTCCAGATGAAAACCCATGTTATTCCTTGCCTCCTGCACTGATTCTTATAATGAGTTGTAGCTCCCTGGAGTGGAGAGGCTAGAGGTATGGGTTGCCCAACGTCCTCTTATCCAGTGGGACTTCAAAGGTCAACAGATCAAGTGCAGTCAGCTGGCCACCGCCTCTTATCCTGTCATTACCTTCATTGTAAAAAATTGTGGTTCAGAGAACAAAGTATTTTCCTGTGAACCAAAGGTCAGCCAAGGTAGGCTACTGAGGAAGGCTAGAGATACCACTTTGCAGACACTGATAAGAAATGCAGGGCGAGGGCACGGTTCTCAGGTTAGTCCACAAGGAGTGCTCCAGCCGCGGAGAAGGGGAAACTAGGGGTGCCTGCCTTTGGGTCAGCCCCTCACCCTGCTGTGAATTTGAGCCACAGCCTCCCAGGCCCTTACCCCCACCCGGCCCTTCCATGCCATGTTTCAACATTGACACAGAAACAGTGGAACCATTTGGTCTCTACAATGGGAGGATATTTAATCAGAATGAGAGATTCTCAGTTTTGGGAATTAAATGTCCAAAGATGTCAGATCTGTTGTGGTAGAATTGAAAAACTTATCTCTTCCTAGGAAGGCATTTGTGTAGACAGGCATTTGGGTGCCACATTTATAATCTAAAATAAATTTTAAAGCTATAAATTACAACAGTATCGTTGGGAGTCTGGTATGTAAGATAAAGCATTTTCTAGTGACTGCCTTTTTACACTAGTATGAATGTGTGTGGGGCTCTTACACATGCTGGTAACTGGGTAGGTATTCCTGCGCCAGTAAAACGGGGACCCCACTCCCTGAGATAGTGCTGCCCTGGGTTGTCCTACTTATAAGGACAATAGGCTTCTTTGCAGGGGCCCTGTGTTCTCAGCCTGGTGAGGGACTCATGGGCGCTGGGCAGAGGATGTTGCTGTTAGTGACCTAAGAACTCCCTCTACATGGAAGGCAAACGGGAGGCAGCCATCCCACTTTGGAGGGGTCTCAGTCTTCTAATGAGGGAGGTAAAGGGCTTGTAGAGACCACTGGCTCTGATGCTCATTGTCTGTGTAGGAAAGAGGCCCAGAGAGGCACAATGGATTTGTTCAGGCTCACACACTGAAACAGTGTAAAGACAGGGCTAGGACTTTGGTTGCTTGTCTAGTTCTGTTCTGTCTTTGTTTTAATGAGATGTAATGGGCCAGCAGCACTCCGTGGGGTTGGTGTGGAGCTTTTGCTGCCCCAGCTCTCTGTGTGGGGCAACTGTTGGGCGTTGGGATTTTTCGGCCAGCCCTTCCCCGGAGTGGAGGACCCCTAGTGTTTTGTGGACACAGCCCACCTGTGGAAATGATTAGTATATAAGAGCAGAGCCACTCGAGGTCCGAGGTGATGTGGGTTTAGCACACATGTGTTCTTTTCTGTGTGTCTCCTTTTTCTTTTAAGCAAACCTCCACACCAACCAGATTTTCAGTCCAGCTCATCTAATGTCTGCAGCAGCCATAGGAGAGATTCCAGGAGAGGACTGAGAGCCCCAGGCAGCTGGAATGGGGAAGGATGTGAAGAAGATAGTTAGGTAATTGGATAATTATTGAAATGAGATAATATGGATCTCAAAAGTTAAATCGCAGTAAAGGGAAACCTGTTAAATGACTAAGATTTAGTAGTTTAAGAAATGTAAAATGATGCACTCCTACTTTGGCTGTTCCGTTGGAGTATGCCTTGTTTAATTAGTATGGTTGGGGAATGTGGCATTTTAGATCATGCAAGTTTATCCTCTCAAATGCTAAAGGTAAAAACTAACCAAAAGTCTTTTCTGATTGGCGTCTTTTGAAAATGATACACCTCTCTGTGTGGTTAAACTGAACATTTACTGACCTCCAGAGCGGGGTTGGGAGTTCTCGCCTCTTTGTGGGTGTACCAAGTCATTCTGGTTGAAGATCTGCTTCTCAATTTTCACCTCTGCCCTCCCTACAAGCCGTCCTTCACCCCAACACTGTTCCTGCCCCATAGATTTCCTCACCACCCTGTCATTTGCTAACTCAAGTGCGTCAAGGACTAAAAATCTACAACACCGACCTTGGTAAAGTGTAGCCTGCAACATGATCTGGGGGCCTCTTTTGTGGAATAAAATACAGGGCCAATTTTAACACCCACGAGGAAATGCAGAGACGGTTTCCATGCATTTAAGGAGAATGAGATGATAGAGGTCTGAGCTCTAAGCACATGGAGAAACATTTAATTCCTGTAAATGATTCATAGTTTAATTGACTTGATGGGTAGCTGAGGACCTGCCGGGTCCCAGTGGTTAGTGCTGGTGTTCAGAATAGTTGTCACCCACTTAGGACCATGGTGAGTACCCCAACAGTATCATGTGTGTGTGGTGAGTTACCTGGGGATCTAGTTTACGACTGGATGAAAGGAGAGAAAATTCATTAGCCTCCTCCCTTCTCCTTGTTAGAGGTGTAACTACTACAGATACGCAACAAATACATATTGCAGTAACCTGTGATGTCTGAACTGCTCAGGGCGATTGGGTTAAAATATGGAAAACTTCCAGTTTAAATATTAATGCTCTGAAGTAAACTTTTTTTTTTCCAATTTCTCTGCATCTAGGTTATCTAAATTATGTACCCACTTTAAAAATTCTGACATTCACCTTTTCATTTAGAATAATTATTTTGATATAATTAGGCTCCTATTCTGACCCATCAGTACTTAGGAGAGAATAACTATAGTAACATTTTATTAAATTATATTTCACTAGTTGAGAATTGGGGATAATTTGGCAAGACAAAGCAGAAATGTGTCATTACTCTCATAAAAGAAACTAACAGTAGTGATAGGCTCAAAGAGAGCATACTTGTGATTGCTTAAAGGAGATGAAAAAGTTTTCCGACTCTTTGGAAATGTCTATTTAGTTGCCAATAATTAATTAGGAGTTATTCTTAACAGCCTATCCCCCATCTCTACTTTCTACAACTTAGTTGGAGTAACTGTATAATGTTGAAGTTATGAAATTGCATTTCTTAAATATTTTTTAAATTTATTGGGGGTGACGTTGGTTAATAACATATGTTTCAGGTGTACAATTCTATAGTACATCATCTGTGTATTGCATTGTGTGCTCAGCACCCATGTCTACTATATATTTGATCCCCTTTACCCTATTCTTCCTCCCCTCACTCCCTTCCCCTCTGGTAATCACCATACTGTTGTCTGTGTCTGTGAGTTTGTTTCTTAAATATTTTAGGTAAGCGTTCTCTTCAGTTTCGATGAAGCTTTAATAACCTCATCCAGTGGTTATGTTTCCTGATTCAAGCAGGGGACATCTGAGATAGGGTGGCCTTGCAGGCCCAAAGGACAGTAGAAACCTTGGCCAGTTCCCAAAATGCCAACACAATCCAAGGTCTGGGGATTTTATAGGGTACTTTTAGGTCTGTCTTTTCCTTACTTCAGGATTTTTCTTGAAGTAATCCAATACAATTTATATTTGCTGTATTTAATGCTCTTACAGTATAAAAGCAAATAAATGTATGATTTTTGCTAAGCGAAGGTAGGTTTCAGTCCATTCCCCATCTGGACACAGATCATTTATTGGTAGAATCCAAATAAGAAGTTTTTCTATAGGTCAAATATTTAACTCTTCAGGGATTAACTAGCCACTCTGTTTTCTTTATCTGTTACCTATTCCTTTATTTTTCTGATACTCATCAGCACCTAGGCATTAGGCAAAGAAGAGCGATTAACTCTTCGCATACTTTCCCTCCCCTTCCCTTCATGTGGCCGTGTGTGCGCGCGCGCGCGCGCACACACACACACACACACACACACACACACACAGCAACTGTAACTGCTATTTATTAACCTCATCATGTAGTGTGGCAGCCATTATGCTAAGCCTTCTCTTCCATTGTTATCTAATCCTCACTAACCCATGAGGAATTGAGGCTGGAAAGTTACATCACTTATGGAGGATCTCACAGCAGAGGCAGGCTGCAAGTCCAGGTCCCTCTGATCCCATCGCCAGTGCTGCTAAACACACGCCATACCTTTGCATCCAGTGGCTTTGTTGAGCACACGTCTGTCCTCCGACCGTGTGAACTCCTTCAGGGCTGGAACTGGGTGCTAGGCTCATAAGTTGTTTATTGGACTGGGCTAGAAGATCTGGGGGAGAAGGAGGTCCAAATGAGTTGAAGCAGGGGTCAGCACCCGGGTAGGCTGCCTGTCTCTCATTTCCATGGGTAATGGGGACTGCACTGTAAAACAGCCATAGACTTGTGCTGGAGACTTCTGTCTTGGTTGCAGCGGGCACAGCATGTGTCCTGACCGGGCAGCCCTTCGACACCATGAAAGTGAAGATGCAGACGTTCCCCAACCTGTACAGGGGCTTCACCGACTGCTGTCTGAAGACCTACTCCCAGGTGGGCTTCCGCGGTTTCTACAAGGGGACCAGCCCAGCGCTTATCGCCAACATTGCCGAGAACTCTGTCCTCTTCATGTGCTACGGCTTCTGCCAACAGGTGGTGCGGAAAGTGGTGGGACTGGACAAGCAGGCAAAGCTGAGGTGAGTTGAGGACATTTTTTTATTTTGTTGAAAAATAGCAACGACACTGTGGTATGGTCAAGATGTTTGTGATACTCTATGGGGAAGAATGTTCCCTTTTTAAAAATACTTTCTGATTATGACTACATTGTCATTGTATTGAAATATACACATTCACATTACATGAAAGGAGAATTGGCTCCCCCACTGACCCGCCGTGGAGGAGGAGGCACCCTTACCCTTGACATTCTTCAGTTCGGATACCAGTGGTGGTGCTGCTTCTCTCCTGAGCAGAACTACTGGACAGAAACCATAGTGCAGCTTGTGGCCCAAGTTTTAGGGTCTTCTCCAATAGCAAAATGAAGAGCTTTGGAAGAGGTTGCCTGAACCTAATGAGTTTGAGTAGAAGCTTTGAATTTTAGGAGGGGTCAGAAACATCTGGAAAAATACTGGCGAACCCACTGTTTATTTGGCCAAGTCTGCCCCAAACATCAGTCTTTGGCTTAGCATTCTTGGGTATTTATATATACAGAGACTTTAAAGAATTCAGAACCCACTGAGATGTTTAGCTGTATCTTCTTTGAACATTGACTTATTTAAAACTATCATATCAGCTTTGTGGTTGCAAAGGGCAATCTTATTGGTCATTTTGGTAGGAATTTGAAATCCTATTGCAACTACAGGTTCTATTTGACTGAATTAGCTTTTGTACAGAAATGTTCTCTGGAGGTGCCTAAAGGTCTAAAGATGTGCTCTTTTATAGGCAAGAATTCCTATCTTGATGGATGGAACCTGTTTTTTAAAGACTTGGGACTAGACGAGCTCACCCAGGGGTCAGGAAAAAGAGAGGAAATAAAGAAATAAGCATAAGACAAACCAGGAGAGTGGGGTTTCTCATGACAGACTGGCAGGCGCAACCTCTTGTAACTAGCTCTCCTCAGTCGAGAGAGAGCCTATACTGAGGGGACCTGGAGTGCGGGTCTCCGGTGTCTTTAGAGAGGGACCCATTGGGAAGAAGACAGGAAACTGAGCAACCATGTGACATTCTGGAGGACTCCTGCAGTAAAGAAACCATTCTGTTTCCCTTGGCCCAACCCAGCACTTTCTTCTTTTTTGAATTCAGCATGGCCGCCTTTTTCTTTCTATAGAACAGTGTTTGCTTATCACCTGTCAGGAAAATGCCACCTTCAAGTTTATGACATATATGTTATGTTTTTCAGCCCTCACCATGGTCCTGTGAGAGGAGCAAAGCAATTATCTGTTTTACAAACGAGGAAATGAAGTGCAGATACTGACACATTCAAAGTCACTAGTTGGTGACTGAGAGAGCCAGGACTCCAGTCTGTGTCTTCTGAGCCCCTATCCAGCATTCTTCTCATGAACATAGTTGGGGTTCTCGAATATTGTGTAGAGGTCACATCTAGAGAATAGATTAATAAGCAGAGGTAGTGAAAAGAAATAACTGCTTGAGAACCTGTCATGAATTTCTGCAGTAATATTGCAAATATTTGTCTGTTTTTGGTTTGAACAGTGTCCCAAGTGTTCTGTTTGACCTTTAAGCTGGGCTCCATGGACCTCATTTAGTGCACTGGTAGAGGAAGCTAAAGTCCACTGCATATCTGATCTGGCCTTGCTGTTACACTGTAATGGCATGCTTGGTGTTTGTTCAGGCGTCCAAGATATTACTGCATTTTATACTGAATGGTCGGCCGCATTTATTGATACCACCTTTGTTCCAGCAAACTTGGCAAACTGGCTAATGACCCTAATTGACTGTTGCCTGTCAGTAGGTTGACCGTCCCTAAAGGAGTCCAAGTATGGATCTGCAAGCTGGCTGAGAGCAGAAACCATTTTAAGCTAAGTAGGAGAGGAGTGGGAAGGAACGGAGTGAGCAGCAAGCAGTTTCCACACACTGGAGGGCTGAGTGCCAGCATGGTTGTTTATCTGGCTCTCCTATGGAAATGGTCTGGCGTCTAATTCTCTAAAATTAAAAGAAAGTCCATACTGCGAGCAGTGTCTTCCTCCTGAGAAAGCCTGCTCCAATCCAGCGTCTGAGCCCTGGCTCCTGCCATGCATCTGTCTGCGGCACTGAGGCCAGACCTCCAGGGGGTAGGATGTTGGGGCGAGATTGGAGGTGGCCCTCGATTTTACACTAACGTTTGACATTGTTAATGTAACTATTAGTTTATGATAACTTTAGGACAACTGAATGTGGTAGGTCTGTTAAGCTTTTGCTTACAATTGGAGAGAAATTGCAAGGGGCTGTCTCTACCTGGGGCAGTCAGCTGAGGGAATTACTAGGGTTTTAGAAATCTGTGAGTAGTGCTGATTATCCAGTGACCACAGGATGCTGGCCTTAACAGGTGTCAGGAGCCAGTTGTCCTGTTGTGAGAAGCTCAGTCCTTCCTGCCCAACGAAGGAGTGGTTTCAACCCCCATGCCACCTGTGCTCCCATGATAAAACACTGTCTTGGGTTTGTAAAGGGTCTTCCTTTCTGACCCCCGTGAATGCTCAGGGAAGTCTTCCTGGCAATTCGTTTCTTAGACTTCCCCCACATTCTTGATCTCATATTGGACTCCAGTTTCACAGCCCTGCTTGTGACTGTGGCTGGTGGTACTGAGAGGATATGAGATGAAGGAACTACTATTTTTGTATTTATGTGTGTTCATTTCTCCATTTATATTTCCAGCTTAGCCATTTTACGAACACTATTGAGCTTTTTGCCTCGCACTGGCTTTGCCCTCTCCTGTGACACCACCACACTCTCTTCACACTCTCTGTGTTGCTGCGGCCAGGAGGTCACCAACTGAACTGGGAAATCTTTTTGGAACAAGCAACTTTTTGGTTAAGAATTTATCCTGAATTTTCATCTGTGGTAGTTACATTACACATCTGCTTGCTCCAGGTTGGATTTGGAGCATGTAGGGATGGCTTCAGAACCTAGCTTTATTTAAAACTTAGTGACAAATACACTGAAGTGTTAATAGTGCATGTTTTGGGGTGGTGGGACTATGGGGTATTTTTTTTTCTTCGTCTCCTTGTTTTTGTTCTGTATGTCACTGTGTGTTTTAGTTCTGGCAACTATAACAAAATACCATTGGCTGCCCAGCTTAAACAACAGTTTGTTCCTCATAGTTCTGGAGGCTGGAATGTCCAAGATTAGGGGCTAGCTGATTCGGGATGTGGCGAGGGCCTTCTTCTTGGTTTGCGGTGGGACACCTTGCTGTGTTTTTCATGGCAGAGAACGCAAGCTAGCTCTCTGGTTGCTTCTTATAAGGGCACTAATCCCACCATAAGGACCCCACCCTCATTCCCTCATCTAAACCTAATTTCCTCCCAGAGACCGCCTCCTTCAAATACCATCACATTGGGGCTCAGGCCTCAACACAGGAATGTGGGGATGGGAGACACAAACATTTAATCCATAGCATTGTGACCAATAAGAAAAGCATGGATTTTGCAGTCAGGAGTCCTGGGTTTGAATCTTCGCATTGCTACTTAGTAGCTGTGTGACTTTGGGCACATTATGCACTATCTCTAAGTGTCCTTTTCCCCATATGAAAACTGGGTGTTGCTGTCTACCTCACAGGGTTGCGGAATCTGTAGATGAAACAACGTGTGCAAGGTCCTGGTGGGTGCTCAGGACACATTTCTCCTTTCCTCCTCGTTCTCTACCACCGGAGTGTTTCAGATGGTCAGTGCTGAGTGAGTGAATAACGGGACGGTAAATGGTTTCCTGTGCTTGTGTCCTTTCAGTGATCTGCAGAATGCAGCCGCCGGTTCCTTCGCCTCTGCATTTGCTGCCCTGGTGCTATGCCCCACTGAGCTTGTGAAGTGCCGGCTGCAGACTATGTACGAAATGGAGACGTCAGGAAAGATAGCCAAAAGCCAGAAGTAAGCACCCTGGGCACAAACAGTGGGTCTCTGTTTCCTCAGTGTATTAAGTATTTTGTAATATTACACTAAAGGGGCGGATTGAAAAACAGACTTATCTACTCCAAAGTATGGTGTTTCTAGAATACTTTCCCTTAGCAGTCAGAGGATAATTTTCTGAACAGACCATCTGTGATGGTTGGACCGACTGTCCCACTTGACAAATATTTAATACCCTAGAAGCAGAGAATCTAGGAGTGACAGCCCTTTGGGCCTGTTGGGTGTATGAGGTCTGATCCCCGACTGTGTTGGGAGGCACATAGCAGGCAGTGTGGGTACTGAGAGCTGCGCCTTCACAAGCGCTTGTTTGGATTCGGAGATGGACATTTGATGCCCATTCCCAGGCTTCACGTGGGTATTTGGGCCGATCAGCCTAGATCCTACTGGTAACTTCCTTCACCTCCTCCCGAATCCTTCATGTTCACCTACAAAGGGCCCAAATTCTGAAAACTTATCCAAACCCTTGTAAGCATAGCTCTCTTCAGTGATCAAATCACTATCCAACTCAGTCTTAAAAACAGAATCTAGTATGATTTATTCGAATCAAAATGTAATTGATTATCCTTGTTAATCTCAAACTTATTTATCTTAACATCTGGCTGACACAAGTTCTGGTGGCGAGTATTGCTGTAGTTAACGCAAAGTCTGCAGATCTGGGGAAAAACCAGTAGATGACCATTTTCTGAGTTACCAGTCTCCTCCCAGTGAGGATGGGGTTATACCAGAGCCCTGTTTCCTGCAGCCTTGAGATTCATTATAACCAGTTTGTATCTCTTCATAGCTAGAGGTCCAAAAGTGTCTTTAAAACTTCTTGTTGAAATATGTACACACAGAAACCCTAAGTGTGTGGTTCTGTAAATAGTCACAAAATGAACATGCCCTTGTAACCAGCATCCATGTTAGGAAATAGAACAGTTAACAGCACCCATAAAGTTTGCACTCATTTCCTTTGGAAGTAGTTTAATGTTTTTTTAAAAAAGTAATTGTTAGATACAAAGGACTTAGGCAAATGGATACTACATAGAAGTGAATATTGGTGGCTGTATTTTAGGTACAGCAGTGGCCACAGAAGAGTACATGGTGGTTCGAGGTTAAGACTTAGATTGGAAGGTGGGCTAATTGTGTTCAGCTGGATTACTGTGTCACCTTGGCATCACAGAATGAGAGCTGGTGTTGTGTTGCCAGGAGGACCTGGCTAATGGGTAATGCTTGAGAAACCCTCTGGAGTCCTCAGAGGGAGATAATCATTAGAAACATGAGGCTTTTACCACCTCCGGGCTTAATCCTGCTTTGGTCCAAGCCAGGTCACCTGCGGAGAACAAAGTGAAAAGCTAAGGGTTCACTAAACCGCATCCAAATGTGGTTTCTGGTGCATTTGTTCTGAGGGACAAAGTTGGCCATGGCACACACCATCAGGAAGAGGAGCCTAGACAGAAAGTGTCCTGCGTCCAGCTGCCATAGGACTCTGATCTACTTGACATAAGTCTTGCGTGACCTGCCTCTCTAAGAACTGAAGTCTTGAATTTTGCCTGACAGGAAATGTAGCTCAGGTCATAGAATTATTTTGGTCTTACCTTCAAGTAACATTCATTCTCTGGCTTGTTTCCCTGCACTAATACAAAACAAAACAACCCCCTAAAACATCTGAATAAATTTCCTCAAAACACCAAAGAAAGGTTGAAGAAATAGGAATTGAGGGAGGTAAGGGACTGGACAAGTATAATACCATTTTATTCTTGCTGAATTTGGATACTCCTTATTGTGACTTCAGTTATTCACTGTTGAAAAGATGGGTATTAGCTCTTTTACATTGTTGATGACTTCTAGAAATGTATGAATCCATTATAATAAAACTTCTTTATAATAGGATAGTTCAGCTGATAAATTTTGTCATAAAATAATTGTATCTATGCTGCTCTGAGATATTTCCTTCCCACAGAAGCCTTTTCTCAGAATTCTAGTTCTTCTGTTTATAAAACCAGCTGCTTCCTTGATAGAGCTTCATCAGGTCTGTTGATTGGATGCCTAGTTGTCCTTCCTCCACTGCCTGCCCTAACACTCTCTCGGTCTCCTCCCAGTACAGTCTGGTCTGTTGTGAAGAGTATCCTCAGAAAGGACGGCCCCCTGGGCTTCTACCGTGGACTCTCAAGCACTTTACTTCGGGAAGTACCAGGCTATTTCTTCTTCTTTGGTGGCTATGAACTGAGCCGATCATTTTTTGCATCAGGGAGATCAAAAGATGAACTAGGTAAATGTGCCTGCATTGGGTTTGATGGTGTCAGCTTTCCAATGATGTGGTTGCTATGCATTCCAAGCACTCTGCTCCCCTTGTGAGGGGTCCACCTGGCACTGGGTTCCCGGGTTTTGGAAAGCAGCATGGTCTTGGCGATAGCTTACACATTCCTCTGGGCTTGGTAATTTCCTCAGGATGGCTGAAGTGGTGCATCCCAAACTCCTTTACTGGAATCACATTTGCTAATTTGTTCTGGCTCCATATTAGGGCCAAGAAAATAGAAATTACTTTCCCATGGGAAATCACCAATAAATGGGAAATCACCTATAAATTATTTTGCAATAAGCTTAAAACCTGGATAATGTTTGGAGAGCAGTGAAAAGTAGTCTGTATTTCTAGCTTATCTTACTTAGCTACTTGACACAACGTATCAATGTTCGATTCACACGCATGGTTACTTTTTTTTTTTTTAATATCTCCCTTCAGTGTTTTGAACCTGTTCTGGAGTTAGTCAAGCTCACAGGCTTAACTGTTTTGGTTTGCTAAGACAATTTTGGTCTTCCATGTTAAAGAATCAGGGCTGTTGGGCATTAAATGTTAAAATATTTCAAAGTGAGAAAGTTAAAAAAAGACACGGCTTGTGGTTCAGTGGTCTCTAGTCTCATTCCTCCTGTTACGGTATTGCCATGCTGCTAGGGGCCTGCTGGTTTTGTGCGGACCAGCCCTCTGGAGGACAGAGTGGAGGGTCACAGCACCACAGCTACCAACCTAAATACAACCCCCCACTAGGCCTTCCTGTCCTGACGAGAGGAGGGTTGGGCCCAGATGACCTCATGGAACCTTTGCTCTTAGAGCTTGAACAGTTGCTTCAGAGAATTGTGTTCCACAGCAAGAGCATTTTTATTTGCACCTACCTGCAGCTGCTACTACCTTGCCCTCTAGAAATGTCTCGCCAGCTGTTTGAGACAAAATACTATTTGCTAATGTTCTTCTCTAGGCCCTGTCTCTTTGATGTTAAGTGGTGGAGTTGGTGGAATCTGCCTCTGGCTTGCTGTTTATCCAGTGGATTGTATCAAGTCTAGAATTCAAGTTCTTTCCATGTCTGGAAAACAGACAGGATTTATTGGAACCTTTATAAGTGTTATGAAAAATGAAGGTGAGTCTGCTAATTGCAGAAACAGTAGGTATGTATAGAGCAATTGGTCATTTCACTGCTAGTCTTGTCAAGGTTGATCAGATGTATAGTGACTCTCTTCCCCCTGCCTCATATCCCTTTTCTAGCATTGTATATTAATCCATGTTTTTGTATGTTTTCAACCCCCTTTCTGTAGCTTACTTTCATTCTTCTCAAGAATGTTTAAAGTTCTCATCCCTAACCCCTGGGCCAGGTACCTGTCAGGATTCTCCTAAATAGCTTGGAGGGAATTACTGGATGAAATATGGACTTTGTTTAAGGGGACAGATGTTTTGAAGTTAGCACCACTTGTTTTACATAATATAGATATTATCAGATGACGACCTTAAGAGAACCACTAAGGGATTTAAAAGAATGTGCAACATCCTTAATGCTAGGACTTATAGAACAAGAAATGCACTAAGCAACTTCTAAAGATGATTTTCTATCAATTTTTAGTTATGCAGGAAGACAAAGATTTTCTACTTAATGTTTGTATAAAGCCGATTTATGCTCCTAGTAAGTAAAAGACCTGTCCTTCCAGCATCCACTATACACCTTAAAGCTTGGGACATGAATTCCTCTGTCTTGATTTTAAAAGAGAGAGCACAATAACAGTATGCAGAAACTGTTTAAGTCATATCCCAAATAGAGTACAGACATCTTGTACGTTATTAATAGTAACTCCTTTTAAAATTTACATAACAATTTCGTTTTACAAAATACTTACACCTTCCTTATCCAGTTCGATCTTCATAACCACCCTGGGCAGTGCTAAAAGTAGGAGCAGATCTCTGACTTCAAGGCTGGTGCTCTTTCCACTAGCCCTCACCCCTCGCCCCTCCCCCCACCCCCAGGAGCAGCTGCAAAGCTGCTGCAGCCTGTGGCTCTGTGGTTGCCTTCTGTCTGCCCATGCGAGTCCTCAGTTCTGCTCGATTCATTTACCAGGAGTTAAGCAGGCATGAGATTGGTGTATGTTACCTGAGCATCACCAGCTTTATGGGAAGACCGGATGTTGTCCTGTTTCCATTAGTCTATTTAGTTCCGTTAGTCTATTTAGTTCCATTAGTCCAGGGAAACCTGGGAATAAGTCCTTTCATCACTTATTGGTTTTTAATGTTATTGTCTGGATTTGTAAGTGTAAAAATGTCTATGCTATGCAGCTTTGTGGGATATCTCTAAGGAAGAGAGTCTTAGTCTTTGATCACCCTTTTGTTTTCTAGGAATAATGGCCTTATATTCTGGACTGAAACCTACTATAATTCGAGCATTCCCTGCCAACGGGTCACTATTTTTGGCCTATGAGTACAGCAGAAAGCTGATGATGAGCCAGTTCGAAGCACACTGACGTATCCTGGTGAACCTGGATCGAAATACAAGCGTTTGAGGACTACAGTTCATCTCAGGGTTTCATAGAGTACAAGACCAATGTGGAATTATTTTGATTTCATAAGAATTTTATTTTTGTCTTCCATTATTCTACCCCTAATCTTAAGCTTTTTGGAAGGACCTCTGTTTTACACCATATAATTTCTACTCATACTTGTATCGAAATATAAAAGTCGCTGCTCTTGTTCTTGGTGTGACATAGAGGGTGAGCCTCTGGCCCTCTGTATCTACTCTAAAGAGCTAGATAAAGTTATATCAGGGATTTTGCATAAACCTGTACATGTGATTTGGATGGCGATACGATGTGAGCGAAGCAGTTTTTGTTCTATGTTTAATCTGGGATCTCACCAGAAGAACCCAGGGGTAACCATGTTTCGTGAGGATGGTTATAAATGATTACTTAACTCATTCTAGATGTAGGGCCTCTTTTAAAATCTGTTTAGCACATGCACTATACCAAGTGGTTAGTTTTTTAAAAGATTTCCTGTGGTGCTTAAACTGAAATATCCATCTAGATTTTAAAGAGAATATCCCTGCATACTGGTGTGGCTTCCACGTTCCTCGTTTAAGTTTCAGAGTAGGCATCCTGGATTTTTCCAAGAAGCTCTACTGTTAAAATAGTGCCATTCATTTTCTGGGTGGGGTCATGTTATACTCTCTGGCATGTTAGATATGAGAATATCCCTGCATACTGGTGTGGCTTCCACGTTCCTCGTTTAAGTTTCAGAGTAGGCATCCTGGATTTTTCCAAGAAGCTCTACTGTTAAAATAGTGCCATTCATTTTCTGGGTGGGGTCATGTTATACTCTCTGGCATGTTATTGGGTGTGGCCTAGAGTATCAGGTCTTTGGGAAGCAGTGTGGCCTTCACCGCAGAGAGCTTCCTGTCTGTTGGGCTGTAGGCGGAGGAAAGGGCAGTGCTGCCGTGCTTTGTGAAGACCTTGTGGCCAAGAGCAGCCCTTCACTTCTGTCTCTGGGTTCTGGTCTGGGTAGGAGTCCAGAGGATTCTATTGAACCACTCACTGCCTCCACCAATTGGAAACCCACCCAGGGAGCAGAGTACCAAAGCCAAAGGAAGCCTTCGTTCCCTGCCTGGTGATTGAGTGACAGTGCTCATGGATGGAGTCCTATCCTCAAAACTAGACAAAACGTAGTGTCCTCATGACACAGTGAGTAATGTCTAGGCTGACCCCTCCTCAAGTTTATCTTGGGTCTGTAACTCCTTGCCTTGCTTTTACGATTGTTGGAGCTTCTTATACTGGCAGTCAGTGAATTTTAATGATGACCATATGTGGGGTGCGACTTTATAAATCAGTGAAGCAGAAGTAATTTTATTAAGCTATGCCATATGTATGGACTAACAGCCAAGACCCCAGTTCATCTGATTCCCAGACTCGGGGAGGGGACACTGGGTGTGGTGCTTGATGTGCTCCAAAGCTAAGGCTAGTCTTCCATTTGTTTTTTCTTTAAAAGAAAATCACTTTTCTTCTTTATCTCTCCACACTTAAATGGTCAGTAGCTGAGTGGTACTTTGTCTGAATAGGCTCGGATTGAAGCAGAATAGAAAATGTGACTGCCTTCCAGCAGAAAGTGAACTGCTGCAGAGTCCACGGTCCCCCCTGCTTGGCACCTGTCAGCATGTTTCAGCCCTGTTAGCAGTAGACCTTATCACATGTCATCCTTTAAAGAGTTAACGAAATATCTTCAATAGAAACAGTTTGAGGCAAGTAAGAGTGAGTGGGGATAAGGAATGGAAACCTGTCAGAGGAATTTATTTTTCATTTGTTTAATTCGTGGTTTAATATTTAGGTATAATAGGTACTATTTCAGATCTGTACTCCAGACAAAAATATAACTTGAAATACTATGTTTAAAGAAATTCTAGTGTTCTGTATCATTAAATTATTTGCCTAATACTTGAGTATATGAGTTGTTTAAGTATTTTACAGCCATGCTAGAAACCAATTGTCAGGAATTTTTGAGAGTTATGTATAATATTTCAAGGTGGGGGTTTTATTGCGATGAGCATTGCCTTTTCGTCAGGAAGATTTCTGATGTAAAATAACTTCACTAGAGGTAAATAGACAAAAAATACATGTTCTTCATATACACTACAGTTATGAAATTTGGCCCACTAGAATTACTCTCTCCTTCCATTAGGCTGTGGATATGGAGTGACTGATGTGGCAGGACGCCGTTCTATTTTCAAACTTCTTGCTATTAAGTTTTGGATAATTCTATTCCAGTTTAGTAAATCCTGTTTAAGAAAACCAGTATCATTCTGATATATTTTGTAAGTTTCTTGAGTTGTTCGAAGAATTCTTCATATTCGGTTCTAAGAAAGCAACCCCCAAGAGGCCCTAAGAAGTTCTCTTTCTATGAGAGGAAGCAAAATAGTGTGGTAACTCATAATTGTCAGAAATTCTGACGTGTTTTGGAGGGTTAGGGAAGAGAAACTCTAATCTTATTTCAAAAAGCAAGATTGTTATAAATTAAGGTTTCCTCTCGCTGCTGATATTGAAAAAGAGCCAGTTAAGCATTTTTTTTTTCCGATTCACGTAAGCCTGCTGCCTAATCTGTCCTCTGTGGGTTACTGGGGCATGAATTCTAAAGGAAACTACAACCTGCCCTGCACCAACACATGTTTCTGTAACACAAATTACGAAGAATAATGTAGTCATAACATAGAACTTGAGAGCATGTCCTCCAAGATTTTTTCTTCCGGGGGGAGCCAGATTAGGGAGAGAATGATGACTTGGGTCAGGAAAGCAAAAAGCATTCAGTTGGGCAGCTGCGCTGGCAGCTGGGACCCCTTGTGGGTTATTTTGGAAGGAAAAGGACCTGCACCCGGGCCACCTGCTAGGGTTGCACGACCCTCCCATGTGACCGCAATTGTGGCTCCGGAGGCTCAGAGCTCTACTATCTGTGCCACTTTGGCACCTACCAGCCAAATCCAATATGTTCTAGTTCTCTTTAAAACAAAACACCTACTGTGGCATCCAGTCTGGGCTGCCTTCTGGGTTGTTAGGGGTTAACATTCTGGTTACAGTGTTGCTTAGTTGAAGAGGTCTGTCCCAAAGCCCTAAACCTCATTTCCCCACTCCAACTGTTTCTTTGGTGTGCCCTTTTTGCAGAGTGCAAAGCTTTTCAGGAACGAGCATACTGTGTTTTAGCAGAGTCACTGCTGCTTCTTAGTTGTTACCTTCATTTCCTGAAGAATTTAACTTGATCTAGGTTGTTAAGGGCCTTGCCAATTAGAGAAAAAGTCACTCAAATAAGGATAATTTCAATGAAGACAAAACTGTTTTCAAGGTCAACGATGGCCTTAAGATACAGTGGCAGTGAAGGCACTTGGACTAAAATAGCTTCCGGTACCAAAGAGAATGATTCCTTGTGGACACAGGATTAACCAGTGTTTACAATGAAAAGGTAACCTTCACAGAGTTCCCCAAGCTTAGGTGAAGTTGGTGAAATAAAGCAGGGGTAAATACTTGTCCAAAAATATATAAGTAAATGGAATAGACCAATAGCATTGGGGGATGACAATTTTTAAACATTTGATTTATTTTGTTATGAGAGCATTATTTCAAAGTTCTTAAAAGTGATAATGTTCCTGTGTTCTGTGTTCCAAATTTATCTCAATATAGATAAAAACTGTGTGAAGTATATTCCTTCAAAAAGGAAAAAACACCACTGACATTTCTCTTGTATATACATATAATAGATTTCTCAAGAAGATATGTACATAGATGTAAGTATAAATATACCAGCAAGGAAAAGAGGATTTGAGGATATAAATATGTAGCAAGGGGTGGGAAGAACATGATTCTTTCCTAGAAGAGGAGCTACACTTAATCAACTACCAGCTACAATATAACTTCTTCAAAATATAGTTCGACTGCAAACTCTGGACGGTAAATTTTCCATGCTTTTGGTTTATGGGGATTATCCAATTCGTTTCTTGGAAGATAAAGCCTAGAAGAGAAAAAAAATTGTTACATTTTAGAGCTAATAGAAAAGCCATGAGGTAGGGCACCCTTGTTAGAATTTAGAAAAAGTTTTGCTGGTTGTGGTTAGCCCTTTTCTGTATCTTAGTTAGCTTTGTATGAGCCAACACTTCCATATTCTCCAGTGAGATGCAAAATATCTTAATCTTCAATAACAAACATACAGTAACCTGTCATTGATTCTTTTTAACACTGCCTTTTATAGAATTAATGACATCTGCATTTAATAAATTTCTGTATGTGACAGAAATCAACTAGAGACACTAGATGTGTTTTAAACCCCAGTAGTAAAACACTGAGTGTCTTAAATGATGAAGTTGGCATTTTCGGCTGATTAACAATCCCATAATTATTAGAAACAGTATATTCAAGTAGTATGAAATGTTAAAGAAATCTTTAGAAACATGTAAAAGTGAATAGAAAAGTGATCTAACGTGTTGCCTCACCAATATGAATATGGTATTTTAAAGGAAAAAAAAAATGTGTCCTTTAGCAAGAACCATGACTGAGAAGGACCACTAAATGAAGTTCCACCCAGATGTCTAATTGAGGGACTTTGCTTGTGTAGTCAACGTCTATTTGTATACATCTAGGGAAAAAAATTGGTAAAAATTTTCCATTCAATCCAAAGTTCCCTCACTCAAAATCCATTAAATGCGTGTGCATTACAAGTGTGTAGCTCAGATGTTCAATTTACTGTTGCTTTACTAGATTTGAGGTATGATTAGATGCTGTTCAGATTTGAAGAACAGCATAGGATATATGTAATCAGAACTTTCAATTCATGCTACATAAATCACAACCACTTCTTCAAAACTCACCTGCATGATTTTTTTGAATATTATTTTTCCTTTTTAGCTGGATGGTATGGTGATACCAATAATCTCAGATTTTCAGCACCACAGAACAAATACATAAAGTGGAGAACTTCTAGACTCAGGAATGAGTTTCCAGATATAGTAGAGGTTTCTTTGGAATAAAAATCTTCACATCAATTAATTACTTTTTTAAAAAAAACGGTTCCCAATTTAGTATTAGAGATAATTTTTAAATGGGAGACTTTTAATGATTTTTTTCAGCTGTCTTCATTGATACCTTCTGTGTCTTATAACTTATGCCCTAGAAATAAGTGTGTCAATCAGCTTTTAAACTAGCTGAAGCCCCCGTAGATAATGCCTTATGTCGGCAAAGAATTTGGTGGTAGTCAGTCATCAGTAAATCAACACATACTGAGGACCCGCCATATTCAGGATACTGAGTAGACTCAAACTTCCACAGCAGGGATTTATTAGCACACTCAAGAACTGATTATAATACATTCTAACTTATAATACAGACCTATGGCATGGACTTTGAGGATAATGCAATAATCAGTCTCAAGAATAGCCATATTTTTTAAATAACCAGATTAAGATGAGTGTGAATGAGGAATGAAGAATGGTCGCTTGAGGATTTTTTGGATTCTATAAATTGAGCTTATGACAATCAGCAAAATACTTGCCATTACACTTACACAGACATTAAAGATAAGGTTGTTTCTACTGGATAGCATCATGAGCCATACCTGTTATTTTGTATAAAAGACGTATTGAACCAAAAGAAAAATGGGCAGTTGTCATAGTATTTACGAAGTTCCTAAAAAGACATGGTTTAAAAACAAGGTCATTCTTCATAGAAAAATTGATACCAAGAACTAATAATTCCAAAGGAATTAAAATTTCTTCCTTTATTCACTTACACATTTATCAAACAGTTGTAGCCATTAAATATGCAGCATGTACAGTCTGTAACTTTACACTCAAGACACAAAAGAGGAAGCTTTACGAGATTGCTGTTTCTCTTGTGTTTCTATAAAAATTTTCAAAAAAATGTATTTTTTTCTATGACGGATATTTATAAATGTAGATACTGGTATTTTAATCTGCTTTAGATACTACTAAACAGAACCTACTAAGGCCCTATGCCTATTTACACCCAGATATATCATCCACTTCTACAAGGAGCAGCTACATTGTATAATTAACTCATTAATAATGATAGAAATATCTAATTTTTTTAAAAGCACTTTCACTTCATGGCCCTTGAAAATCACAAAGACCAGATATTATCAACATCCCTGGGCCAGTGTCCCTCCCACTGGTGCTCTGCTTAGAGGCCACTGATTGAGAGAGAATTGAGACTGGCTCCATTATTCAAGGGGTAACCATCCAATACGAGAACTATCCAGGTCACTCGCTTCAACACATTCACCGTATCAATACTTAATAGGTTCTCCCCTAAAAGGGAGTAGGCAGGAAATGAAGGAAGGTACAGGAAATAAGATTTAAATTGATCAACATAGTTACTTGTTGGCAGTTTTGGTTGATGATTTAATAGAAAAATGAAACCTCTGAGACTTAGAAATGTGTTATATTCAGAGTAATTCTCAGATATTTTATGACTGATCAATAGAAATTATACACTCACGATACTCAGAATAAAGACAATGGCAGACATTCTTATTCTTCATAAAGTAAATATTGGATTATTAGATTTCATAAAGTCAATGTTGAGAATATTCTCATTTTTCATAAAAGTATTGGATTAAAATACTACTTATAATGTATCATAATTCAGAGGAAAGTAAAATCTATTTTAAAAATTATGAGGAAGTGATTCTGGGAAACATGGCAGAATGAGAGACGTCCTCAGATCTCTCCCCTTGAAACAACAATAAGCTGAACATCTTCAACTGAACAAAAAACACTCAAACTGCACACCAGCCCATCTGAGCGTGGGATCTGTGCATAAGAGCTACCACAGGTCAGAACCCTGGGTGTCAGGCGGTGGACTGGGAGAAATAAAGAAGCTACCTATCGCAGCCACCAGAGCTCCCTGTAGAAGCAGGAGGAGGGAGAAGGTGCGGTGACTTCCCTGAACATCCATGCCTGGAAGTGCTGGAACTTTTAGCAGCCAGCAGCAGGGCTCAGTTATGAGGGCAGAAAGCAGAGAAGCGGGATGGGATAGCAAAGAAACAATAGTTGATTTTCACTGGCCCCAATTCCAAAACCGAGGCTGAGCTGCAGCCCCCAACCCCAACTCAGAGGGCTCCTCCCCCCATACGCTCTGAGACTGAACACCGCGGAGCCCCAGGGGAATCTGAGCAAACACTCCAAGACTGTTGCTGACACTGGCAAGGACTGAAACTAAGGGTAGTGAACATGATTAAATATCTACGAGAAAATAAAAAAGACATTATTTAGGCATTATATAAAGCAGGGATCCAAGAGGCTTAGATGCCACCTACGGGAAACCAAAAGAAAAGCGTCTTCTTTGCAGCAGGCTAAAGAGAGGCCTTTATATAATAAATCTTCTTTCTGGAAAAACAGCAGAATACACTTCCATTAATGCCCAGGTGGAGAAATAGTCCATCAAACACCATGAACAATCAAGGTGACAAGGCATCTCAGAAAGAATGAGAAAAATCTCCAGAATATAAGCTTATAGACATAGAAATATGCGACTTAAATGACAGAGACTTTAGGATGGTACTTCTGAAAAATCTCAGTGAGTTCCGAAACGAGTCGTATCAGGAATTGAACAACAATATCAGGAACTGAAAAAACAACTAGATGAGCAGAGCAAGGAGACTGAAACCTTCAAAAGGAAACAAATAGAACTTCTGGAGATGAAGAACACACTGCAAGAGTTGAAAAATGAAATAGCAAGCTTGGGAAATAGAGTCAACCATATGGAGGAAAGGATCAGTGATATCGAAGACAGAAATCTAGAAATAAATCAGAAGGAAGAAGAGAGAAACTGAAGAATGGAAAATAATGAAAGAGAAATTCAAGAACTAGCTGATACCATCAAGAGAGGAAACATAAGAATAATGGGCATTCTCAAAAGCAAGGAAAAGGAGCAGGGACTAGAAAACATTTTCAGACAAACAGTTGATGAGAATTTCCCAAATATAAGGAATGAGCTGGAGCCTGGAATTCAAGAAGTCAACAGAACACCCAATTATCTCAACCCAAAAAGGCCTTCACCAAGACACATTGGATTAAAGTTATCAAAAGTCAACGACAGAGACAGAATTCTCATGGCAGCCAGGGAGAAGAAAAAGGTAAATTATAAAGGAAAACCCATTAGATTACCCTCGGACTTCTCAGCGCAAACCTAAAAGCCAGAAAGGAAAGGAATCAAATATTTAAACTATTAAGTGAAAAGAGCTACTAGCCTTGAGTAATGTATCCCTCTAAGCTCTCCTTTAGATATGAAGGAGAAATTAAGACCTTTCCAGACGTACAAAAATTGAGAGAATTCTCCACTACAAGGCCTGCACTACAAGAAACACTGAAAGGGGTCAGCTCACCTAAAATAAAATAAAATAAAAAAACATAATTAGGAGTAAAGTGACTATCAGGCAAATAGAAGTAGAGAAGTGCAACCCTTACTAAGAAGGGGGCATTATAAGCTTAAATAATAAGAAGAGAATTGCTATAGCAAGATGGTAATGAATGTTCAGCATACCTAGGGACAAATTGAGATAACAATGACTGAAAAGTGGAGGATTCAAAGATCCAAATTCACAAAAGGGAATGGAGATAAGGTACATGCAGAAGAAAATGGACTGTACATATGTAACTATCCTTTACATATTCATATTGGTAACCACACATAGAAGATTCAAAACTGAAATACATAACATAAAACAGGAAGAATCAGAGGCAAAACCCACAAAACCCAACCAAAGTAAAGAAAACAGAAACACAAGGACAAAGAAGTTATGGAAACACTGAGGTACCCGAAAGCAAAAGATAAAATGGCTATAAGAAGACCTCATATTTCAATAATCACACTAAATGTAAATGGACTGAACTCACCAATAAAAAGGCACAGAGTTGCAGAATGGATCAAAAGACCAAACGCAACTATATGCTACCTCCAGGAGACATATCTCAGCCGCAAAGACAAATATAGACTCAAAGTGAAACAGTGGAAAATGATCTTTCAAGCAAATGGCATTCAGAGAAAAGAGGGAGTAGCAATACTAATATCAGACAAAATAGACTTCAAAATTTAAAAAAAGGTAAAGAAAGATACTGAGGGACATTTCACAATGATAAAAGGAATCATGCACCAAGATGACATAACACTCGTTAATGTCTATCTTCCCAATCAGGGAGCCCCGAAATAGGTAAAGCAATTACTAATAGAACTAACGGGAGAAACAGACCAAAACACTATCATAGTAGGGGACCTAAATACCCCACTGTCGGATATGGACAGATCATCCAAACAGAAAATCAGTAAGCAAACAACATCCTTAAATGACACATTAAAACAAATGGACATAATTGACATTTACAGAGCCTTCCATCCCAAATCAGCTGCTTATACATTCTTCTCTAGTGTACATGGAACATTCTCAGGAATTGACCACATACTAGGACACAGAGATAGCCTCGACAAATATAAGAGGGTTGAAATCATATCAACCATATTCTCTTATCATAATGCTTTGAAACTAGAGATCAGCTGCAAAAAGAAATCAGGAAGAACCACAAATAAATGGAGATTAAACAATATGCTACTGAAGAATAACTGAGTCAGGGAAGAAATAAAAAGATCAAGAGATACATAGAAATGAATAATAATGTCAGTACGACATATCAAAACTTTTGAGACACGGCAAAAGCAGTCATAAGAGGAAAGTTCATATCATTACAGGCCTATCTCCAAAAGCAAGAATGAACACAAATAAAGAACCTAATGCTTCATCTTAAAAGACTAGAAAAGGAAGAACAAATGAGGCCTAAAGTCAGCAGAAGGAAAGAAATTGTCAAAATTAGAGCAGAAATAAATGAAACATATCTAAACCTGGTAAAGATAACACACAAAAAAAGAAAACTACAGACCAATATCTCTCATGAACACAGATGCAAAAATCCTAAATAAGATACTAATGAACCAAATACAGCAACCTATTAAAAAGATTATACTCCATGATCAAGTGGGCTTCATCCCAGGGGCACAGCGATGGTTCAACATACACAAATCGATTAATGTGATACACCACATAAACAAATTAAAGAATAAGAATCAGAGGATCATATTAATAGATGCAGAAAAAACCTTCGATAAGATACGACATCCATTTATGATGAAAACACTTAACAAATGGTATAGAAGGAAAGTATTTAGCAAAATAAAAGCTATATATGACAAAACCTCAGCTACCATTATACTTAATGGTGAAAAACTAAAAACCTTCCCTCTAAGGTCAGGAACAAGGCAAGGCTGTCCACTATTGCCATTGCTATTCAATATAATATTGGAGGTCCTAGCAAATGCAATCAGACAAGAGAAAGATATAAATGCATCCAAATAGAAAACGAAGTCAAACTGTCACTATTTGTGACTGACATGATTTTCTATATAGAAAACCCTAAAGACTACATAAGAACACTACTAGAAACAATAAGCATATACAATAAAGTTTCTGGATACAAAATCAAGTTAAAAAATCTACAGCGTTCCTGTACTCTAATATCGAAGTGTCAAAAAAGAAGTAGAAAAAATAATTCCTTTTGCAATTGCAACAAAAAGAATAAAATACCTAGGAATAAATTTAACAAAACATGTGAAGGACCTATATAATGAAAACTACAAGACCCTGTTAAAAGAAAACGAAGAAGATACAAAGAAATGGAAAGATATTCTGTGTTCTTGGATCAGAAGAATCAACACAGTTAAAATCATTATATTACCTAAAGCATTGTACAGATTTAATGCAATCTCCATCAAAATCTCATCAGCATATTTTAAAGAAGTAGAACACAAAATCATCAGATTTGTATGGATGCACAAACAACCCCGAGTTGCCAAAGCCATCCTGAGAAAAGAGAACGAGTTTGAAGGCATCACTCTGCCAGAATTCAAATTATACTACAAAGCAACAGTAATCAAAACGGCTTGGTATTGGCTGCAAAACAGACACACTGACCAGTGGAACAGAATCGAGAGTCCAGAAGTAAACCCATATTTATATGGGCAAATGATTTTCGACAAAAAAGCTAAGAACATACGGTGGAGAAAGGAAAACCTCTTCAGTAAATGGTGCTGGGAGAACTGGAAGGCCACCTGCAAAAGAATGAAACTAGATTGTTGTCTATCACCACACACCAAAATTAACTCAAAATGGATTAAGGACCTGAATATAAGACCAGGATCAATAAAATGCATAGAAGAAAACATAGGAA